TTCTCCTGGCGCTGCCTGGAGCGCCTGCTGCTGCTGCTGCTCTGCACCAGCCTCTCGGGTGGGAACCCTGCAGGTAAATGTAAGCTCTCCCCGGGCTGGGCCCCCTTCTGCGTCGGGCGGGCCGGAGCGAGGTGGACAGGAGCAGCGCCTGGGAGCAAAGGTCCTCCTTGCTCCGCAGCATCTCCCCGGCTCTCGGGGGACATAGCGCTGCCCTGGCACGGCGGCTGCCTTTCGGTCTTCTCTGTGAGAGCGAATGAGGTATTTCGTTTCCTCAGCGGCTCCCGCCCTCGCCGGCGCCCCTGTCTCCCTCAGCGTTCTGGTGGGACAGCGGGATCCGCTGTCACTGTCCCCCGGCCCCCGGGTGGTGGGCGGCGGCAGATGGCCGGAGCTGTATCTGCTATCGGCTGTCCCATAGCCTCAACACCTTTTTCCTGGCTTGCGGCAGGCTTTATTAGCTCGCAGGTGTAGGACTGGGAAAGGTGTGGTGTTGTGCCTTGTTTCTGTCCTGCCCTTACCTGATTAAAGCGTTTAAATGCTGAAAAAACCGCCGCAAAACGACCAGAAGCTCCTCACAGATCGATAGATTACATGACTAAGATATCAGTGTGCCTAATGGGTGTGCTCGTCAGGATTTTGTATTGCGTTTTTTAAATGCAGCATTTAAAAAAATTCATGAAGAAAGAACGACTTGAGCCTTCCGGGCCCAAATCCTCCTTTAGAGGCTTTCAGCAGTTCAGGAGCAGGCCAACTGCTTCTCAGGAAATATGATCTTATTTCTAAACCTAGTGGATTTCTGTTAATATTTTCGTCTTTTTGAGGCATTGCAGAGTAGTAGAGAATGTAGTAGCAATTAGCAGTTTGCTATGCAGGCTGAGATTCTTGGGGTAGGTCTTGCCAAGGCCAAGAGTTCTACCCTGTTATATATGTGCATACGCATACTTGTGTGTGACTTGAATTCACTGTGATTTAGCTGCATTTTCAGTGTATGAAATGCAAGCAGTTATGTTTTCTTCTGCCTCTGTTGCACCTCATAGTACCAAGAGGACCAGTACTGCTCCCTAGGTGACGGTACCTTCTGTAAAATTTCTAGTAGTTTCACATAATGTGAAAGGAAACATGCTTTGCACTTCTCAAGTTTTGTTTGAAATATGAATTTAAGTATGTTCACAGACACAAATCTACTTTGTAGTTCTTAAGTCTTCTTTAAAATACATGTGTATTTATGTACACTCAGAACTTGGAAGTCCTTTCTAACTGTATACTTAATTGAGAAGTTTTTTGAGTCCAAATGGCCTGATACTTGTAGGAATGTGAGTCCGCATGGGGCTAATTGCAATGAGATACTTATTTTTGGTAGCTGTTAATGCCAGAAACCATATCTGATGTTGGCTGAAGCAATTTTAAGTTTATGTAACACCATTGGTGAAATGATAGGCTCTCACAGGAATAAAACAAACCAAACAAGTGAATCAAACAGCAGGACCTTCTTTGTGTTTTTAAAAATTCCACAAATCTACTACCATCTTCCTAAAGTGGTGGGTATAGTCTGGTTTATAGCAGACATCAGAAGTAAGCCACTGGCTTTAGTACTTTCATCTGTATAGAGCAAAACCATTGTTTTTCAGGCTTCTATTAAATGTTTTTATAGTTCTAAAACTAGATAGAGAGGCATCATGCTGTGGCTTCTGTGATGATTTAAATTAAGAAATGGTAGTTTACTCTTTCATTGGTTATTAAGTAAATGTCTATAAAGCTAGTCAAGCACAGGGACTAGCTACACAGCTGCAGTAAAGGGAAATTCATGTCACCTCAAGGGAGAAGAACTTAAAAGTGTTTTCCAGTGAAGTCCAGAAACTTTGTTTTGGAGGTGTGAGGATTCTTCAACCCAATGCTTGCAGTAAAAGTAAACAGAGGGAGGAAGGAGCGCTTGCTATACAAGGATTGAATTGCAGAAAACTGGATTACCTAGTCTGCAGCTGGTCAGGTAGATGCTCCAAAAGCCCTATTATATTTTTATTTTGAGATAATATCTTGAAGAAAATATTTATTCTGTTATTCTTATCTTAGTCATGTAACTGTTCAGTTAATTGTTTTGGAAAAATCTAAACTATTGCCTTTATTTTGTATTGCATTAAGGGTAATTTCTAAGTGCCAGAACACTGTTGTTCAGAGCTTACTGCTTTGTTTGGTTATGCTCGTGGTTGTCTAATTTAGTGGCAGCAAGTGCTGCCAGATTGATTTAGGAAAAGCAATCCCATCCCATCTCACTTTTCATCTGCTGGTCCTGAAGAATTCAAGAAGCTATGAATGTAGAACACACCTCATTCCTTACAGACTTTACTTCCAAGTTGGGTTTTTCTGGTTTGGCCTGAGGGAATGGCTTTTATCAGGGTATTTGGAAGGCCTTAATGTTGATTCTCTGATGTCATTGGGGCATTAGGAGGTTATGGTGGCTGGTGTTGGATACTAGTGAATGCATGTGAACTTAAAAAGTATATGATTGGTATTAAATTAAACAGTAAAATAAAGATGTTAAATTAAACCAAATTGTGTTTCAGCCTTTTCTTACTCAGCTGTTTTTTTTTTCTGGCTGAAAGAGAGCAGATTTTTAGAAGATTTTTAAGCCTGAAATTTCTCTGGTAATAGTAAGCATGGTACATCCATACTTTTTTTTCCCCAAAACACTGACTGCCTTATGAAGCAGAGGCAATGTAGAAAACTAAATTCATGATATCATACTCTTGCCTAATTCTTCCTGTGTGGAAATCAAGAAGATGAAAACTACACAAGCTACCACACTATTGATTAAATCTGACACAAAGCAATTATAGGGTAAGGCATGCAGCCCTGACTCAATAGTTTGAGAAGTTATTCCATGTGGCTCGCTTACATTATTCCCTGTCTGGACGATCCTAATGATGCAGTGCTGGCCCATCTTGATCTCCAGTATCTCCAGTGCTATTCAGCAAGTATGTATGAGAGGAAGAGAGTGGTGCAATGTTACCTCTGTTCTATGTAGTTTGACATCTGCACAGATAAGATGAAAGGTCTAGAATCAAGGGTGACAAAAAAATAACACTACTTGACTTCTTTCACTTGATACATGAATTGAGGAAGAAAGCCAAGATGAGAACCCTGTTAGTATGCAAACCACATTGTGAGTTATCTGCCTTCATTGCAGAGAGATAACAGAGCTGCTGTACAGCTTGGCACTGGCACCTTCTAAATTTATCATCTTTGAGGATTTTAATTAATATGCAGGTGATCCATGACATACTTAAAACACTTCAAGATGCTGCAGATATAAAAATTCATGTATCTTTCTTCGATTGTACTATGAAAAATAATAGCTCTCTCTGCTCAATACCTCTGTCAGGCAAAGAATAAGAATCAGTCTTCTTACTGTCTGGCTCATAAGCCAGCACGTGCTCAGATGTGTGGATTTTTTAAGTTGTTTTCTTAGTTGAAGGCCAGGAGGGAACAGCTCGCCATGGAACCAGTGGACTGATAAAAAAGTGGGCTGTTGTTAAGAACCACTAAGGCTTAAACACAGCAGTCAAAAGATATGATTAAAAGAATTTACTCTTGTTCCAAACTCAAGCATGATGGTCAAATTGAGACAGCAGATGGTGTAAGCCAGGCATGGCTGTGGCAGAGTAACCATGTGCTGGAGGTGGTAGTGGAGAATCTGTAGGTTGTCTGTGCCTATTGGTGCTGAAATGGGGTAGAAGTGTTAGTAATGCTCTTTTGTAGGAAATGGCAGAGTGCTGACTTCACCTTCTGCAGAAGGCATGTTTCTGAAGTCTGAATGCACTTGAAATATGATGTAGCTTTTCACTGTTCACTTAAGAGTTGGACTAGATCCTTGTGGTCTCTTCCAATTCACAATGTTCTGTGATTTTGTGATCTGTGCATGCTTGTTGCTGTCTTGGGTGTCCAGAAGAGTTCATAATCCCGATTCCACCCCCCCTCCCAAGACATTAATTATAAATGCAAAATATATGTCCTCTTTACCTTGTGTGGCTGAATCACTTTCTCTGAGTGCTGTGGCATTGGAATATGTTCTATAATACCTTTGTCAGTGGAGATACAAAATAGACACTGGTTCTGTCACCCAAATGTGCAAAGAGGAATGAGGAGACATTTCCATTCTTCTAAAACTTGTAGATGTCTTGAATTCTTAAAAGAGCGACACAACTACTAAGTCCTTTGCATCTTCCATTGCTGTTCTTCTTCTAGTCAAGAACATAAAGCAAACTAGTCTTAACTGGTTCTTGTAAAAACTGTATCATAGGAGAGGGATCAGATTTGCCGTTGTAATGAGGAAATTTGGGAATAGTTGTTAATATTGTGTTGAAATTAATGTTTGATACAGATATCTTCTTTTGCTTACTGAGGTGCTAGTGGAAGCAAAGGAGGTATGTTCATTGCTTGCTCATCACACTAGATTTGTAAGGTTGTAATGAAGTCCTTACTCTATTGGAAGATCTTCTAATCTATGCTAAAAGTAATTGGCCTGTGTCAGTGGCATAAGTTGTGTTTTTAAACACGTGAATAAAAAAGAATGTGAGTACAGCTTAAAAAGTTGCTGTAACATTCTGAGAAATGGCTTTGCCTGAATATAAGCTAACTGCAAGAACAGAACTCTGTACAGATATTAGATATTAAATTAATATTGCCACCATTCTTTAATCTTTTCTTGCCTAAAATGAAAGAAGAACAATTCTTGTGCAATTTTTAATGTGTATGCTCAGAACTTGAGGAACAAAATGCGGGAGAAAGGCTGAGGTGAGGATGTTCTGCTGGAATTATTTTCATAATTTTCTTAGATTTTTCTAACTCAAAGTTTCCTTAAACTTTTTCTGGTGTTTTGGTTTTTTTTTTTTTTTTTTTTTTTAGATACAGCTATGACAACACAAGATTCCAGTCAGACTCAGGTGAATTCTGTGACTAAGATGCAAGCTGGACATGAATCATCTGNTTTTTTTTTAGATACAGCTATGACAACACAAGATTCCAGTCAGACTCAGGTGAATTCTGTGACTAAGATGCAAGCTGGACATGAATCATCTGGTAATTTTTAATTTGAATACTTAAAACTATACTCCTTTTTCCTATTGATATTTGTTTATCATATAGAGTTTATATTTTCACACTTGAGTCTCTTGAAATAAAATTGTGACTTTTTAGAATAAATAGAAGTAGATACAGGTCTTTTAAAGTCACTGCAAAAGCTTGAGTGTCACAAGTATCTCCAGAACCAGGGAAAGCTGTGCAACTGCCAGTTTCATGACCTGTTGCCTGTAGGCATTTATACCTTAAAAAGCAGGCAATGAACCTGGAGGTCAGGTAATGCCTGAGCTAATACCACTGCAGGGAGGTTGTATTCTAGCCTTTAGACAGATAATTTTTAATATGAGAGCTACTTATGCCTGTGTGTTAGTGGAAGATATAAAAACGTCCTTGCATCACTGTGCCTGCTAGCTTCATCTTTCTTAATTATGGCTGTGTCAAAACTGTCTGTTATCCCGTATACCTTAATTGTGTTTTTAACGGGGAGCTGACAAAAAGTTCCAGGCAGGACGAGAAAACATTGATTGTTGGTTCTACTTCTCTTTGCTCCATAAAGATCAGAGAATCAGAATTTCAGCACTCTCTCAAAGCTCATGTTGATCAGTGCAAGTCAAACATGAGCTGAGTTTTATTTCTACGTGAACTCAATCAAGTTCTGGCAAGTTATTTCACTTACAAGTTGAGCATTTTTTTGAGATAACGATTTTTATCTGGTGTTAGCACATTGTGAGAACTAGGAGTGCAGTAGGTAATAGATTCAATAACTCTACATACATAAACACACACAGACATAAATGAAATATAGAAGGAGTTTCATATAAAATATCATCTGAATATTTTCATTTGATATGTGATTTGAGGTAGAAAGTCAGTATGAAAATCCTGTTTGTTGCAAGACAGTTTAAAAGCAGTCTGTTTTTTTTGTGGCTGGATCTACCATATGAACTAGCACCGGTGCTTTATGAATGTATTATTATGAGAGATTTTGGTCAAAAAGCAGATGCTGCATGTGCTGGACTGACATAAACTCAGGTGACCCATGACAAGCCTGGCATGATGTCTGAGTGCACACACAGGCTAAGATCTGCCAGAACTTTTCAGCCTTGATATTATTTCCTGGGTAAACACTTGGACTAGTTTACTTCTCCATAGGGCAGAGATCAAGGCTTGTGTTCTTGTATAGAGGCAACAGGACTACTGTCTACTTCTAAAGACAGCTTTGATTTCTCTGCTTCAAGAGCCGTTTTATACTATCAGTTGAGATTGACAACAATTTACTGTCAACCAAATGAAATAGCCTGAAGTTCTGTTCTCCCATACCAGCCACCTTAATATACAAGTTTATTTTTACTTAAACTGATTGAAACTTGAGGGAAAGTATGAAAATGCTGATGTAGCAAGCCAGGCAGAAAATTGATTGCCTGTGGCACAGAATTTCTTGTGCTGTGAGCTTGACACGATGTTTTCTGAAACTGGCCAACAGCTTGAAAAGGCAGGTGTACCTCTGCTTATGCCTTTAGATGCAAACCACTAGCAGGGACCTCCTTCAGCACAGCCAGATCCTCTCAGCTGTCGCTCACAGGCATGCATCTTTGCATGAGAGTGTTTTACGCAAGGGCAGAGAAGGAGTAATTCTGGTGAGATTTAGGCTTTCAGAGGTGCTGTTTCCACTGCACAGTGATCAATTTGGCTACCCAATGCATCTCTCAGTGGGAAGGCTAAAGCTGTAGCCCTGTTCCTCTATCATCACAATTGTGATTTGGAATCTTTACAATCCATGAACAGGAGATGTAATCAAGCCCCTTTCCTTCTACAAAAACCAGAATAATTTTCTCCTATAATGCTGTGTGACTAGGTAGAATCAGTCTCTTGAGTACTGTTCATATATTTCTGTAATGCATTATGTAATATTCGACAATAAAATTACTTTCCAAGCATGTAAAAGCATGTGTGGCATAAAACATTTAGTGTATCTTCTGGGGTGGTGGTGAAATCTATTTCTTTCTTTTCATCATTTTAATTGAAAGATTATTATAGCTGGGCTACATCTGTTAGAGCTGCAGCTTATTAATTTGCTTGCTTTCTCTGTTCTTGAAATGCATGAGAACAAGTGATGGGAACAGACTGTGCTTAAAATTCCTGTATCAAGCTTTGTAGAGCTTTATAAAAGATCTTGTACTCTCTGAAGGGTATGTGATCCACAGCCCCACCAAAGAGGAATTTTGTGACCATGCGCCTTGTAAATAAAGGATAATATTTTTAGGTTAGCTGTATGACGGTTAATATTGGTATCCTTTCTTTGTAGAAGGGCATTGCCTGCTGTATGTCAGAAGTTTTGAGGAGCAGTTGAGGGTCTTTGACCTTTTTGTAGTGGACCACAAGATGTTCTTGCCTCTGTATTCATTAAAGCAGCACTTAGCCAGGAAGTCAGAGGCAGATGATCTGTATTGTTAGATTGTAGTAACTTTAGGAATGGCAGCATTCTGTTATCCTGGGAATTTTTGTTGGGTGGGTTTTGTTGGTTGGTTTGGTTTTTGTTTTCTTTTTTTTTTTTTTAATTTTTCTAAAGCATAGTTCTTTTTCAATAACTGTTTTAACATTTATGTAGTTCTGTATGCAAGCTATAGGTGACTTCTTGAGTCAGGCTGTGAAATTGCTAAGACATTTGTAGATACTGACATTCACAATTACAATATTGATAAAGCTAGAAACTATTATCTAAGGGTATAATAGCTATTATAACAACCCCACAACATTGCTGGTCTAAGATTATGGCTGCTGACACAGGTCTGTAAACGGATCTCCACAGTAGTCAGTATTTGGCAAGGTCCTTTTTCTCCTTTTAAAATTGTTATAATTAGTACTTGCCAAGCCATATTGACGCTACAGTGTGATTACTTATATAGGATAACTTAACTTTGTTTCTGCCCAAACCTTGTTAGGTCCAGATGTTGTTGTACAAGAGCTCAAGCCAGCCAGCAAGGAGAGCTCACATAATGTCTCAGAGCATGAGATAGTCCTAATTGGTGAGTGTGCTACTTTTTTGTCTTCCAATTATTTTATATTGAATGTGAGTGCAAACAAACTTCCGTATGAGTTGTAGAAGCATCTAGAATGGCAAGTTCTTGATAAAGATGTTCACAGTGAGCATGTGATGAGCCCAGTAAAAGGTAAGGACATTTATGCTAATAACTTTTCTGTTCTAATAATAACAGTTTTGCAGTGGAGAATTAGATTCCTATTTTTAATAAAACTAAAAATTAAACTAATTCATAACTCTCTTCCTCCAAATCAATTGAAATGATAGTTTATTTGCACTAGTGAATTCACTTGGAGAGACCACGTAAGCTAGGATACTTGCTGAACAGCAGGTGTTAGCTTAACAGCATTTCAGGAGTTAAAGCATGGAGAACAGCAAAAATAAACCTATTCCTAAGGTAGGCATGAAGTTCTCAGTTGCCAAATAATATTCTAGAATTAATTTCTTGGATAACTTAAACTGGTCTAACTGAAGTATCTCTGGAATATTTGGAAAGTACTGGTATGGTACTTAAAGGATGTGATTTTGCAGTATTTATGCTGCATTTGCTTCCAGCAGGAAATTTAAAGTACTGTGTGTTTCCCGTTCTGGTTTCTGCATTCTTAGTACAGGGATGCCCCAGACATCAGTCTTGCTATTGGTTGATCTTCAACATCATCAGTTTTTGTTTCATTCATTCAAAGGATGGATTTAATTTTAAAATCATTTTGTAAGGGACAGGCACTATTTTCGGCTGGTGTAATTAGTCTGACTGTAAAACTTTTGCTGCTGTGGAACTAATTCCGGTTGTAAAATTACTTTGATCATAAACAGCCTCAATAAGCTGAGTTATGCTTAGCTCGTTTATTCAGCCTAATTACTCTAATAAATGAGTTTCAGTAACTGACTTTGCCCTGCAATGGAAGACTGAGGTGTTGCACTTCTAAGTTTATGTCCAGTTCAACAGATCTGAAGTATTTTGGCTGGGGCTTGCAATTCTGAGTATGCTGTTCTTCAGGTTATAAATGTCTTTGCCAGACCCAATAAAGTTCACTTACTCTGGATCTGGTACTGTCACTCCAGTGAGACTACTCATACCTATGACTTACATTACTAAGTCAGCAAGCTGTACCATAAAACTTCATTTTCTCCTGGAAAGAATGTGAGCTGTGCAATACACCTGCACTTTTTTTGACCACCAAATACTAGAGAGTACATCTAGAATTGAAGTGAGGCATAGATAAATTTTCTTGGAATGTTTAGGTGACTAACCAACTTTTATCTAGAAGGCATGAAAGAAAAGGCCAGTTATGAAATAAAATGTCAGTGCTAATGGGTACAATATCTAAAGTTTTCTTATAAAAGACTGTTTGTTTCTATGGATCACAGAAGATATTTGCTGTTGATATCTTTTTGGATATGCTTATTTTATGCTCATGGAAAGCAAAAAAATGACAGGTTTTTCTACTGTATGGGAATATTTTCCCACTGTAATTGCACTGACTTGCCAGGAAGGCAAAGGCAGCCCTAAATGCGTTTGAAGAGGATTTGATGTCAGCTTGAGTAACTGTAGCATGAAGGGTCTGATCCAACCATGCTAAGGCTATGGATTTTATCAACAGTTTCCCGAGCAATAGGATATACTTGTGATCTCACAGTATCATAAAATCTGCACCTGACTAAAATCCAGATCGCTATAGATACTTGCATCTGGACTCTTCTTGACATTGATAATATAATTTTCTATATACCTTTTAAGTACTTCATATTTTTGTTTGGATTAAATAATATAAAACCTTAAATCTGTCTCTTAAGTCTGTCTTGCTCTCAGTGAAATGAGTATCTATGCTTCTATATCAGAGCGTTTTAGGAAGTTTACCTGCAAAATGGGAGTGTGTTATTTTTGTAAAGGGATATGTATTTTAACAATTATGACTTAAGAGAATTACTGTGAAACTCTTTATTTTTCAGGGGCTTTTTTCCCTGGAGCATATGAAGAGCACTGTGTCCACCTGTAATCCTGTATACGTAAACATAGCCTCTGAAGTTTTTTTGCCCAGAATAAGGAAATGCATTTTTTCATTAAATGTTTTTAAACTACTTGTAGGTGCTTCACTGGAAAAAAATATCTCTTTGCCCAGTCCAACTAAAGTTGAACTTATATGCAAATTAGATGAGAATTCCAATTTGAAAAATCCTCAAGTGACTTGGAAAAAGGGAAGTGAAACAATCAGTCACACCAGTAAAACTCAGAACAGCTGGGCCATCCAGTAAGTAGCATTCCTTACACTGTGATTTGCAGATTCTAATGAGTTGCCCTGTTATGTACAGTGCCCAATACTAGTAACATGTATATTGAAAAAGGGACGAATGCAAAGATTAATCAACTTACTGAAGCTGCTGGAAAGGAGAAAGGTTGCAGGTATCTCAAGCCTGGAGGAGGAGCTCGTGCTTTTCCTCTAGTGCACAGAAAAGGTTGTTTGTGTTTTTTTTTTTTTAAATAAAATGGAATAAGGAAAGAGTTCCTTGAAGTCCAATAATTGTGTTCAGTAAATGAAATAAGCAGTCTGAGATTAAAACATTTTAGCAATTTCTATTTCCACTCTCATTTTCCACCTGCTCTTTTCCACCTCATTGCAGCTTTGCAAGAGTCTGGAAGGCATCAATGGTCATTTTCTTTCCTTCACAGTTAAGAGAGGATAGAAGTGAGACTTACAGTGAAGATATTTTGAAGGTTTTCTTAAGTTTTTCAGGCCTCTACAGAAACTGAGAAAATGTTGTAGAAGCCTTTCTACAGTTGATAAAATTTATTGCTCTTCTTTACAATTAGTTCAGTCATACATTTTAACTGATTGTTTTCCTGTTGATTTCTCTATAGCTTTAAGAGCAGTAATACTTTTATGAAATTTCTATTGCAGACAATATGAGACTATAATTGTCACTTCCCTGATACTCCAATATACACAGACGTAAATCTTTTTCAAAGTGACAGTAAAATGTATAGTTTTCTGGTGGAGAAGATGCTGGACTTCATTAGATCAAAGCTCTTTAAAGCTATTTTTTGTGTTGAAGAGATTAGGAAGAACAAACCATTTAAGTAAACCCTACCTAGGATATGCTTCATATCATGTCTAATTCAGTAATCTGTAGATAATGCTGCATAAAGGTGGCGTATTGTCAGCATGAGGGGTAAAAATTATGTTTATTATCCCAAGCATGCATCTGCTCTTCTGTTTTCTTAAAAATGTTATGCCATTTCTGATTGCACTAAACCTGAATCCTAGTGTTTCAGTGATGGTATGTTCTTTGCTCCATTACAAATCCTTACTGTATTCTTTAGAATGCTAATTAGCAATCACTTGTGGTGATACAAAAAGAAAGTATAAAAAAAAACAAATTCATGTTTTGTTTTTGTTTTTTTTTTGAGAGTGACTGTCTCAGACAGCAGTCAGCTGGGAAGTTACACTTGTATTCTGAAAGCTGATAAAGAAATCACTGCTACGTTTCATTTGCAAGGTAATGTATTTAATTTAAATTTTTGTTTCAGCTGACCACTGCAAAGCTGTATTAATATTCTTTCTGGCTAGTATGGAAATTGCAACGTAATTTTAAAAGTAATGGCTAATGCAGTCAGGCTAAGTGAGAATAACTATCAAAATAATTTCTGTAGCATGGATTGAAGAATTTTGAACCAAAAACTGAAAGCCTTTAAAAAATGTTTTAATCCTCAAAAGACCATGCAAGTCTGTTCTTTACTCTCTTGACTAACTGATTTCCCCTTCCCTCTCCATCTCTACAGCACATGTGAATACATTTCACTTTCTGAGGCATGAAAACAAAGGATGGTGTCTCAGATAAATTTCTTCAAAAAGCAGAGCCAAAAATTTGCAAGTTGAGTCTGAGGTGTGGTGTTAAAGTGAAGTAATGATTGGTAAAATGGAGGCAGGCTTTTTAAAATTTCATTTTTATTTCTGAAACACTACATGATTGCCTTAGTGCTGCTTTTATTCTGTAGCAGTATAGGAATAGTACTTAGATGAACAGCTAGTGTGCTCCACTGGGCAGTATGAGTGCCCTTTCTTCTGTTTTGTGTTCTCTTCTCCAATAATGTTGCTGTGGAAGTAGTAAGTGAAATTGAGTTGCATGGAAGATGTGTGGAAATGATAATACAAACTGCTGAGCTGATGGAGAATTCTAATGGAGTTACTGCTTTCTCTATTCCTACCATCCAAATTTTGCAAAGAGCAAGGCAAGCATTTCATATGTGAAGGCTGATATGGGAGAGATTTTCCCTAAACGCAGGCTCTGAGAAACCCTAACTATTCAAATCATTACCCTAACCTCAGCTAAATTAAGAAGTGGGGCTCCCTAATTCTTCAGCTGCAACTTGCCTTTGTTCAGTGGGATATTCAATAATAGGACTTGAGGAAACTTGAGTGGGTTGAAATATAAAATATTGATACCTGCTTTCAGACCTTCAGCCAGGAGAGACTAGCTTGCAGTGCTGAATAAAGACAAAGTTGTAGTATATTCAGGCTTTTTCATCTCTAAAAAATAATTATGTATTTTTCTTGTCAGCGTGTGGGTGAGGTTTCATTGAATAGCTAACCAAGTTGATGTAGATAGAAAAAAGTCCAAGGAGACCTTTTCTTTTTTTAAGTACATGATAGCTATTACAGTAAGGGCAGCAATGACTCAATAGGAAAGTCATCTTTTCCAGAACATTGCATAGAACTGGTTGATTTATTATAAGATGATCAGAGAACTGCTGCACGATGGTTGAATGCTACCACTTCTGATGCTGTAAAAACTACTGGCTTGATGCTTTTTAAGATTAATGCAAGAGTGAAGGAAATGGGAAAGAGAAGTCCTTGAATCTTCCAGTCAATAATGCAGGGAGAACAGTTTACAAACTGAAAGATGAGTAATGTGTTGGTATAGACTCAGTGGCTTAAGTCATCACTGCTGTAACTATCAGCAATAGCTTTTCCACAAGGCAGCTGGGGATTATTGGATGTATTAACCTCTCCTTTCCTTCCCAGCCTGGTTCCTGGCTTGGCATAACCCTTCAGATTTTGTGGAGTTAGGTTTTTACTCAGGTTTGCAGAAAACAATGAGGTATTTACAGGAAGTTCAAGTTACTAAACACAGAGGACATTCATGGGTATTATAAAATGTCATGAAGTGCTGCTAGCTCCTAAAAGGGTGGAACAGATTAATTTCTTTGCCCTCTGTTCAGGGACCCTTAAGCAGCAGTTGAGAAATGAGCACCATGAAATACCTCTTATTTTTAAAACAGTGTGGAAATCTGACTGATGTACATGCAGGTGCTGACACCTCTCTGTTTGTTTCTTCAAAAGTTGGCTTTGTCTGTGCAGCAGAAGTATTTTGCCACCAAATTTGGTGTGATCCACTTGCAAAAATACCTGTGACAAGCCTTGCATGTGTTCAGCTGTTACAGAGCCAGATCCCAGAACTTGTAATAGATATTCATATCCTTAATCATCACTACATGTGGTCACATTTATTGCTGGTATGCCTAGACCTGAGCTTTGCCAATCAGTGTGGCTAAATCTCTTGATTGCCGCATAAGCTTGTTGTGCTGGGTGTATGGGGGTTTTTTATCCCAACCTACTTGTGTGTTCTCTAAATTGCAAAAAGTGAGATTATCCCGTCTAATGACAGCAGAGAAGATACTCTCTGCCAGTAGCCTTTAAAAGGATTGTGTCTAATTATTAAAACTTACACATTGGAGTGATAGAAATTTACCAGTAAAGAGCCTTGATGAATGGTGTGGCACATTCTAAGACTGAAAACAGTGTTCTTATTAATAAATTGGCTTCATATATATTTCTGCATAGGAAACTTAAGTTTGAATACACATGAGAAGGAGACTTTTTTGGTGGAAAAATAATTTGTGTTCACCAGTCAAGAAGGGGAGAGAACGAGAACAATCTTAGCTTGTGTCAAATTGTTCATCATAACTGCTGAAAGCAAATACTTGGCCTGTTTAGTGTAGTATGATCAATGAAATCTAAAGTGTGTATTGGATCTGTACTTAAAAAGTGAAGCGATGAAACTTGAAGTAAAATTTAAAATGCATGGATCTGAGGAAAACAAATTAGTAAGCATCCTAATAAAGAGGGAAAGGAAGGGGAAATACATACTTCAGCATAATGCCTTTGCTAAGCTCTGACAGTCTCTGCGGGATAGTCTCAATACATTCAATAGGTTTCCTGGGCATATGCTTTTGAAAGCTTGTGGGGAACAAGCAGTTACAATGGCTAAGACAAGTAGCTCTAAAGTTAAACGGATGTCTTGTTTCTTATTGGCTGTATTCTGTCCTCAGCAAGATTGGACCAAAACTCCTTTTTATTGGCATGTGCCTAAAAGTCATTGCTTCAGCTCAGAAAATGTGACTGCTAATCTCTGTCAATCTGCAGGTTTTCTTCAGTAACTGAAAAGTTCTCTGTATGTGCAACATGTCAGATACCATTATGTAGTCACATTGTGGCTGAAACAGACTTCTAGCAGATTGAGTGAAATTGCATGAAAATTGTTTGTTTCTAGTGTACTAGAACTGAAGCATGTAGATTGCAACTGCCAAGGAAGGGGAAGAGCAAATGGGAAAGGGTAGAAATCACAGTCTGATTTTCTTTTTTTTCACTTATGTTTGTTATTAATTGGCAGCTTTCAAGGTCACGCAGCAACTGAAAACAAGATTCCTCTAGTCTTCTGCACAGATTAAATATCTGAAATAGCAGCCCAAAAGGGCTCCTCATTTACATCATGTCATGAATGATAGCATCATGATGGTTTTAAGGGGAAAAAGTGAATGGGGTACTAGAAATGAATACCTAAGTAGTCTTTGTAACACTAATGAAAACCTGTATCTCTCATTTGATTTTTTTTTTCCTTGTTCTTAGTACCAAAGCTTGAAGGAAAAGAAAAACCTATAATCACTTATCAAGGAGATAGAGCTGTAATGGTTTGTAAAACTGAGTATGAGCCCAAGGCTTGGACCTGGTATATGACCAATGGAACTGAGCTGGTAAGGTCTCTCTCTGTTGGCCAAGCAAAATATTGTGACAAAAAATAAGTACAAATACTTTGTACTTTACTCTACAAATTGCATTTCCATTAACTTTAATAGAACTCTCTTTATGGAAATGAAAAAAAAATCTGTAATATTTAAAAGTATTTATTGTAACAGGAATGTAGTTTTTGGTTTGGTTTGTATGTTTCTTTTTCAAAGAGGCCCTGCCATACTCCTAAAACAGATGAGTCTTGAGAGATTTGTTTTTACTGTAGCTATACTGGTTATACTACTCAAATCTTGCTACTGGATACAAAAATAATCTTACAGTGGGACATGCTTTCACCTGTAAGATGTTGTATGACCCTTCACTTCCCCTAGGCACAATTCTATTGCTTAGCCTTATGACCTATCTAGAAAGCATAACTTCCTAAAACGCTTTGTTTTAACCCTCTTCTGAGAGTAGCACTATCAACTGAGAGGAGGTAAATAGATCTGTCTCCTTTATACTGCTGGAGATTAGCACTGACTTTGAGTACCAGCATATTTCCTAGTGAAGGATAGTTCACTCTTCTACTTCCTTGATATGGTGCATGTTTTGTGCTGTGGTGAAACCTGTGCATTAGATCTGGCAGCCCAGGATGCCTTTGTCATTGGAGAGTCAATAGAGCCAAAGGTGCCTTCTATCTGCTTTTAAATAAACTAAAACAGGTCAGACAGTTTGCCCACTGAAACTGTGCTTTCTTCCAGTGAGTCTAGAAGGAGCTAGGGTGTCCAGCTAAAATAAATCATTCCCTTTAAGTTGGGGTAATCATGTTTCATAAATGCATTTTGTTCCTAACTTATTGTACATACATATCTATACAGAACTGAATGTAGATTATACTTGTTGATTAAACACTGTCTCATTACATTATTAAGACTAGCAATGCATTTTTTTTTAGGCTCCCATTGATAAGATTTTGCATACAGACAAGTTTCAAATTAAGAGACCATCTGCCAATGTAAACCGTCTGGAGATATTCAAGCTCACCAAGGAGGATCGTGGTGTATATTGGTGTGAAGCTAGTTTTGAATTAGGAAACAGTCTCATGAGGTTTGAACTTAAAGTTCTGTCCATTGCAGCACCTCTCAAGCCCTTTATAGCAATTGTGGCTGAAGTTGCTATTCTTGTAACTACTATTGTCCTCTACGAGGTATATTCAAAAAAGAGAGGAAAAGGTAAGTTTGGTGGGGGGTTTTGGTTGGTTTGGGTTTTTTTTAATTAATTTCTAACTTTCTGTTGAAATTTCAGCCAAAGGTAGAAAAGTGTGACCCATAGTACATCATATATGAAGATGTGTCGTTTTCACATCTGTATTTCTGATAAAATTCTTTCATCTAAAATGCTGCAATGCAAAAAGCTTTCACTAAGCAATATTTAACCGTAACAGGTTTGATATGGTCCTGGTTTATTTTTCCTTAAAAAGGAATTTTGAGGCTATAATTTTTGGAGGAATGGAAGCAATTCTTGGTAGCCTTGATGAGAGAAATTTCTTTAAAGAAATTCAATAAAAAGGAAAAACGCATGTGTCTAATACAGACATAAATGTATACCTATATTTTAAAATACAAAAAGATATAAGCCTATATATAATGTGATTTGTATTAAAATCAGACTAAGATTTTATAAAAATAAGCTTTTACAAAAAGTTTATTTCAAAATAAGCAATTCGGAGGTAATTCCATTTAATGCATAAGCAAAGTAATTTGAAATACATATTTAAGAAAACTCATAAAATGAAAAAAGCATTCTGCTTAAACAATTACTAAATGTACTAAATAAATTTTCTATTGTTAATTAAATGGATACTTATATGCAATACTTCTTTTGTTCTGCAGGAGGTAAAAAAGAGTTTGACCAAATTGAGCAACTGTAAGCAAAAAATTTCTATACTGTAGTTCAGTATTTGTTCTTATGTGTGTTTGTGTTACACAAAATTCTATTTTGTTGTTGATCCCATGGTGAGGGGGGTAATGGTCAATGTGAAGGAATGGTTTATTCTTTTTCTTAAAACTTGCCAAATCCAGAGTGTGCATAACGCTTTTTTCTACCTGGAATTGATTTTGAAATTAGGATTTTTTGTGTGGTTTTTTGTTTGTTTGTTTTGGGGTTGTTTAGATTTTTTTCTGTGAGAGCACCATGTGTCCTCTGTTATAAGCTCATTGTAGAAGACTGTAACTGCATGGAAATACCTTCTGGGTGAACGTGTAACAGAAGTGGCTCTGTTTTTTCTTCAAAGTATGTTTGTCCATGTCTCTCCTTTGCATGTGGTCAAAGCCCTAACTCTGGTAGGTAAGCCTGTAGTTGCTGGGGTGTTGGGAGCTGGCACCATTGGCTATTTTGGGGGATAACTCCAACCTCTCAAGAGATTTCATGCTGTGCTGGTAGCTTGGACTTCCTGGGCTGTGCTGCTGTAACCAAAGGAGCAGCTGTAGGCACTTCTGTTGCTGTTCTGCTGTTCAAGGTCTAGTTCTCCTGTCCTTAGGATCATCTATTTCTTTAGGATTGCTTGCTGAAGTGTGCTATGCTTGTCTCTCTGCCTGTCCTCTGAAGTCTGGTTTCCTGAGCCTGTTTATCTCTTAAAACAAGAGGAAAGTTGCCGAACAGGTCCTCATTTTAGATGTCCAGTCTTCTCTAGTTTTTGTCCCCTCGATCCCTTCTCTACTGCTGTGTTTGTCTCCCTTTTTCTTCTGAGTAGCTCTTTCCCTTCTTGAATTTCTTTTTGCTGCAATGACCTTCTTTGTTTTCCTGTGTTGTACTCACTTTCTCATTCTTTTTTTTTCAGTGCTGAAAATGCATTTTGGTGCTTTTATACTTATCTGAACAGACTTCAAGCTCTAATTCAATTACAGAATAAAGTGGGAATGTGTCTTGGGAATATAGTATGCTATTATGCTGCTGAATGTTTGGGGGAATGCCTTGGGTTGAAAATTGAAAAATTGTCTTTATTGCACAGCCCACTTCTCATAAACATGCTGGAAATACCAGCATGGTAACACAGAATAGTGCACTAAAATAACATTTTTATGCTTGTGGGATGTAGTTCTATATAGCTGCTTAATTTTTGTTGTGTAATTCTTAGGTAAACACATATGAGGAAAATTTTTATTTTAACTATGCACTTCCCCAGTTCAAGAACTGAAAATTATTTCAACTATTGGCTGTTTAGAAGATGGATCTGTGTACCAGAGAATGGCTCCAAAGGAGCACGTCTCGTCTGTTATGTCAGAGGATGACTAATACAGCTGTATTTGGTTGATGAGGCTGTAATTAAATGTCACATCCAGCAGTGTAGTTAGGTGGGAGCCTAGTGAATCACAGACTTTTTTTTTTTTTTTTTAAGCAAGAGAACTTTTAATTCAAGTCTTTATTTTGATACACAGTATAATAGCTAGTTGCAGTTATTCCAGAAGGAGACTGGAAATGATTGTTCTACCTTACTGTTCAGTTTTGAAATTTATCCCCCCTTTTTTCTTTTTTGTAGTAAATCAGAAGATGCTACTGGGACACAAAAGTAGTTCTAGGCAGAGAAGTAAATCTGGTTCCTTGAAAGGTAAGTAAGAGATGAGAAACCAGAGTTTACTTTTCTCTTGAACGGCCTAATACTAGGACAAAGAAGTCCCCTTTTCCATTCGTTTTTTTTTTTTTTTTTTCAATGTGGGAGCAGCATAGGAATTAAATCATTGTTTAGGTCAAAATACAGTCAAACAAGAAATCAAGTCCAAATTGTTTTAACTCAATTGTGTTGTCAGTGTGATTTACTAGTTCTGTTAGCCCATGCAATCTTTAAAATGGAACCCAGGTTAACCTACTTGACTCCCGATCATGAAAGAATCCAGTGAATACCAGGGTGGGTGCTGAGATGTATAAGAGGTGCTGCTATATTTAAAATCCCACTCTTTCCAGCTATATTTTGGGTCTCAAGTGGATTTGGAGGAAGGATCCTCTGTAATAACAAGCAGGGAATATGACAGTACTGGACAGATGTAGAGGAGTGAGGGTGAGCTCAGGGTCTGATATACAGACAGCTTAACAGAAGAGGGCAAAAACTGAACACAGAAGCAAAAGAAACGATTAATTCACTATTTCTTATGGGCAGGCAGATGTTCAGCTGTCTCTAGGAAAGAAGGGCTTCATCATGCTTGCACATGTATAATAGCTGCTTGGATTAATCAGGAAAACAAATGACTCTGAATGTGTGTCCCCTCCCCGTTTCTCCTTCTTCCCCTAGGTTTGCATGCTGAGCATGAAATGGGGTGGGATTCTATGGGATGAAGAATCCCTGTGATCAGCTGGGCGCAGGTGCTCTGGCTGTGTCACCTCCTAACTCCTTGTATTCCCCCACCCTCCTTGCTGGTCAAGGAGAGGACAAGGCCTTGTGATTGTGTAAGCACTGATGACCAATACGTAAAACATTCCTTTGCTATCTCTGCTGTTTCCATCACAAATCCAAATCTAGCCCTATACCATGTACTATTAAAAGCATTAACTTTATTCCAGTCAAAACCAGCACACGAGGATTTATCTCACATAGGATCTGAGGCTCCATTCTTACAAAGTTCTTTTGACACATAGCACTCAGTCAATAAATAAGGATACTTCTCTGAGAATGACCTGCTTTGTCTTCATATAGGGTGTCAAAGTTTTAATGTCCTAACATGATAAATGCTAGTTTGCTATAACTCCCTGAAGAAAGGTTGTAGCAAGGTAGGGATCAGTCTGTTCTTACAAGTAACAAATGATTGAACAGGAGGAAGTGGCCTGGAGTCCTATCAGGGGAGATTTAGATTGGATATTAGGAAAGCTTTATTCTCTTGACAGGTCAGGCATCAGAACAGATTGCCCAGGGAAGTGGTGGAAGCCTCAACCGTGGGCATGCTCAGAAGGTGTGGGGCACTTAGGTTTACTATTGTGGTTTACTGCTAAATGCGATGGTGCTGAGTTAATGGTTGGACTTGATGCACTTAGAAGTCTTTTCTAACCTAAACAATTCTAGTATTTGATTTGCAGATTGTACCTTTTAAAGAAATGGATGTATTTATTAGAATGAAATTTATTTTCAAACAAATATGGGAAAATACTAAGGAAAATAAGAGCATTCATATTATAATGAAATGTGTTTATTCTTTTCTATGGCAGGAGATTTGAGCCAACAGAAGTGGGATTTTTCACAAAGCTACAGAAGATGTATGCAGCTATGCATTTTAAACATTCACTATGTTTTGATGTCCCCTGCATTTGAGAAATAAGATGGTTTTAAAATAGTTCTGAAACTATTCTTTTTATACAGATAATAATATGATATGGTTTATTTAGACATTTATCTGTAACATTTTACTACTAGCAATTGTTTCTTTACTTTAGGCTTACTGTTGGTTTATGATTGGTCTCTTTGAGTTTTATATCCCAAACTAGTGTTGTATTCCCTGAACAAATGGTTAATATAGAGTGGGCATATTATCTGTGTGTTTAAAAACTGTGTAAGATTAAAAAAGTATTTCTACCAAAGAAAATGTCTTTTACTAGTTGATAAGCAAATGTGATGCAACTGTTTTTACCAAAGAAACGGTGAAAGGGGAATCTTTATCAGGACTTAAATGAAACATTGAGAATTGCGATTTACTCTGAATCGTAAAATGTCTTCATTCTAACTTTCCTTAGCTTCATTCTCAGTTCTACTATATTGTAGTCCTTCGTAGGCTCAGATATTTCAGAGTAGGTGAAAGAAGTATTGGGGATATAGTACCTTTTCAGACTATAACTGCAATAATTCCTTATGCTTGAAAAAATTACTGCACTCTCTGAGCCTTCAAAACTAGATTGGTTTCATAATTTCTATGGAATGCTGAGTTTTCAGGAATATGCCTGTATATTTTTTTAATCATACATACTGTCTAGCTGGTACTTTTGCTTCTTTCAGCAAACTTGTTTCTTAAACTCATTGCAAAACACAAGGGTGAGTCTTGAGCAGCTAAAATTTTCAGGATAATAGGAAAAAGCAGCATGAATACCACTACTTCTCTTATACAAAAACTTTAACACTGCTCTTAATGATTTGCAGATTGCTTTAGAAGAGTGAGTTGCCATAATACCACTTAGTTACATTATGCATTCCGCAATTAAAAAATGTTCAGCTAATAAGAAAAAAATTGGTTGTATCAGTTGCCTGTGTTTGAAATAATTGAAACTTAAATTTTGAGAGGAAGAAGTAGTCTTCAGAAAAGCGTCTTTCCTTCATAAAAATGTAAAGAAAAAGGCAGTATTTGCAGACTCTATAAGCAAGTGAAAGAAGAAAAAAATACACGGAACTTCTTTGTACTAGTAATTTTTTTTTTAATATAAAAGAATGTAGAAAAAAACCCAGGTTTCATTCTCTTCCTTTATTTTTTCTATTTTTACTGTTCTTCTGGGTTTGAAAAATATCAGAAATCCTAGCATTGGCTGTTTCGTTAGAAATGGGAGACAAAATCCAGTCTGATATATGCTTTTTTGTTTTTAATAATTCATTTTCCAGTTTGAAAAACTACAAGTTGAGGTCCAAATAAGACACATTGAGAAGTATAAAAGCATTGGGTGATTGTAAGGAGTGAACACTGATAAAGATTCCTCTTGCTTAGATACTTTGTTTATTGTATTTTGCCTTGGAGTTTCTATGCACTGTTAAAGCCAGAATGCATCTGCAGTTTTTTATATGAATTTCTCATTGATACAATTCATATTTTTATTATAGCAAGTAAATGGGGAGCAGTTTTGAAACATGTACTTGTGTATATTGTATGGCAGATTTTAGAGTTTGTAATAATTTGTTTCTTGTAGGCAGTTAAATAGTAAAAAAGGTAGTCTTAATTAGAGATCTCTTCTGAATAAAGCAGCATT